GTTCAGCAGCGAGAATCAAACAAACATAGGGAATCTGCTACAAAGATGATGGAAGAGACGAAAGGCCAGACAGAGATGACAGGCAACCCAGAGGTTAGCAGCTGCTGGGACCCACTTCTGCCCCTGGGGCTGGAGGGATAGACAGGGAGGAGGTGGTGATACTGGGGCCCAGGAGCAGGACCACAGAGGAAGTCGAAAGCATGACTGAATGGCAGCCATAGTCAGAGACGTCACCCAGAGCAGAAGAGAAGGGGAGAATACCCTGGCTTCTCCGGTCGTCCTCCCTTCAGCGTCTCCCATTGGCTGGACCCAGATGGGAGCCAGTGAGCGAGGGAGCCTGGGAAACAGGCTCAGCCCCTATGATGCAGAGCAGAGGAAGGGAAAGACAGAGAAGGAGCAGGGACTGCTGTGGCGGGTTATGGAACACTGACTGTTTTGCCTGCATCCTCAGTCACAGAAATGATTCAGCACTCCATCCTGACACAATTAGGATGCCCCAGGATTCGTACATACACAAAGAAGAGGTCCAAATGGTAATATTTACCTGCTCCTCAGCCCAGACTCTGACATCACGTACTTGTCCACAGCTACCAACAGCTTCTGTTCTGAGGATTCCAGTTGCTTCCTGAGCGTTCCCGTGTCCATGTCTGGGCTTCTGGCTGCTTCTTCTGGAAGACATCCCGGCTCCTCACCAGTCTCCTCCACATCCTGGAAGATCCAGGACGTGTCGATCTTCACATCGACGTTCATTATATCAAACCCATCGCTGCTGGGGGCTCTGACAACGTAGCTGAAACTTTTCTCAGTCCGTCCTTTAGCTGTCGGCTCCATCCCAGACATAGTTCATGGGCCAAGACTTAATGCAATTAAGTGAATCTGCAACATGGACTTTCTGTAGATTTCAAGGTGGCTGCGGTGCCTTCAGATTGTGCAGGAAAATACCCTTTGAGGAGGGCAAGAACAGGTGGATTATTTATGAGTGGGGTACTTGGGTTTCACCTGCAGAAATGTCATACAATATGAATGAAAGCCTCTCGTTTTACAAGCCAGCATGCCTGCAGTCACCCGAAGCAGAAAAGTCCCTTGGAATTAAAAACTTAATAATGTGTACAAAGAGGGAAAATAAGATTTCTAGGCAGGACCATCAGAATGTTATAAATTCTCAGCATTGAGGCTCAAGTTTTCACCAGGTAATAAATGAAGTTTTAAACCTCCTTTCTGAGTCCAGCAAACATTTATCGCAGGCTTGGAGTTTACTAGGGGAAGGGGAAGGGAAACTAGCACTGCACTGGGTCATCTCACCTTACCTAGTCCGATTCTCCTGGAAACCCCAGGAGGTGGGCATTTTCATAACCATTTTACAAATGCTGAAACAGAGGCTCTGGAAGCTGGGGGAGTTGGCCAGGCCCCACAGATGGGCAGTGGCAGAGTCAGGATTCAAATCCAAGTCTGACTCCAAAACTCAAGGGGTAAGGGATGAACCCAGACCCCGAACAGGAGGAAACATCCTGCTGTGGAGGAGACTGAGGCTGTATAGGTGGCCAAGGAATGACCCATCGCAGATGGCGGAGGTGGGCAGAAGGCTCCTCCAGGTTGAGGGAGTCTCAGGACCATAGCCCAAGGACAGAGTCAGGACAGGTGATGGGAGTGGGAGTGGTCGGGTTTGGCTGGCCCAGTGCACACACTGAAGGGGGAAGTGAGGACCCAGGACAGAAGGTGACTTGGAGCCATATCCCTGTGGGCCTTGGACTCCAGGACATGGCATCTCTGTGTGGGAAGTGAGGGGGTCCCTGGAGTGTTTAGAGCCAAGGAGGGTCCTGGTCAGATCTCTGAGGGTGGGGTACCGCGGGGGGTGCAGGAGGCGAGAACGGAAGGAGCTGGCCAGGGAAGAGTGCAATAAATAGGCCTGATGCAGAGTGGTGCAGGAATAAATAGAAATGTAAACTACGGGACTTAATCCTCTCTGTGAAAAATGATGGAAGAGACTTCCCCCACCCTTTTCTGAGAGCTCCTATTTTAGAAAACTTGTCGTTCTTTCTTCATCTCTTTGAAATATATGTTGATTCTTTTAAAAGCTATATAGGCCTTTTGCTGCTTTTCTGACCCAGGAACGCGTTTCTGAAGATCCTGGGAGCCACCTCTTTGGCGTGCAAACACCCAAGGAAAATAGAACCCTGTCTCCCAGTTCCTGTGGGAGGGTCGGGGGCTAACTTCCTGGTCTCCCGGCTCCAAGTTGCGAAACTACCTCATGTCATAGAGATAGGAGAAATTCCACTTTTCTTTGTACAGAACAAATGAACAAACACAGAGGGTCACTCCAGTGGCCAGGTGGATTTAGGGTGACCTATATCTAATAAATAGTGCTGCCAAGTTCTCTTATGTGACAACAAATTATTGTTTATCCTGAGGACCTGTACGAATTGGGCTGTATCTTCTTGGCTAACAAGAAGTGAGATTCTTTTCTGTCTTTGCGAATCTCTTAGCGGATGGTCTGTGATGCACATCACATTCTGGTTTGATGCTCTTTCGATAATAAAATTGTTTTCTTTCTTGTCTACCTTAGTGGAGAGGTTGTCTCGGTTGGGAGAAAATTTTGTTTTAGAGTGTATTTCCCAACCATAATGGAAAAAAGATTTTTTAAAACCCAACAAGGTCCTATTATTGACTACAGGGAGCTATATTCAATATCTTGTAATAAGCCATAATGCAAAGGAAAAAAATTAAAATCCACTTCCTCAGAAGTGGCTGTGTAGGGTGGTGCCTCAAGAGTGGCTGTGTAGGGTGGCGCAGGGGGCTTGCAATAGACACGGAGCGGTCAGAGGCAGCAGGGCGGGGTATCGGCCAAGAGGGGGCGCAGTGGAGCAACTCAGATCTCCAGTGTTTCTTGGATGGAATCTTGGACAAATCACTTAACTTCTCATAAAAGGTGGGCGTGGGTAGTGAAAATAGTAGCCATATCAAGAGCTGTTTAGGCATAAATTAGTGGCTGTAGGGTAAGCAGTGCACAGCGCCAGGCACACAGTGAATGCAGCATGCAGGCTGTGCGTGACAGGCAGAAGCAACATGTAGTTCAGATTGCCTGCCTGGGCTGTGTCCGGTTCTGCCTCTTATGCGCCAAGATCTTAGGCACTTAACCCAGCTCCCTGCAAAATGAGATGAACAGCAGTCCCCTCCCTGCTGTTGCATGAGTCACTTAGCTCTCAAGTGCCTGGTCCTGTGCCTGGCACAGCGCGCCCGCAGGGACCTTAGCTGCCAGGAGCATCCTTGAGCAGAAGGATTAATTGATAGCTGACTGGGGCCAAGTGACCACCTGAAAAATCATGTGCCAGGCCTGCAAGGAGGAGGAAGCAGGTATTCTAGACCTTTCTTAGGAGAGCAGCCCAGAGGAAAGGTGCAGCCGGGACAGGTAAAGGGCATTTGAGCCCCAGGGCCTCTGCCTGGGGAAGTGCCTTCAGACTTTGTTTGGATAAGTAACTAAGACTGTTTCATATTCAGTCTTAGTAACAGCTTCATTCGGAATATGAACCATCTGCGTCTGAGGGACAAGGACAGGGACGCGGCGCCTGTGGCTTATCTCCCCTGTGGGTTTCTCAGGGCTGGAGGCCTGAGGAAAGGGGACACGTGGCTGTGGAACTGCTGTAAGGACGTGGCCCTGCATCATTCGCAGCCTGGGTGAGGTTCCCCAAGGCTGACGGCGACCACAGGAAGGACACAGAGCTTGGCTGAGAGCAGGACACGGGGGTCCCCACCTCGGATGAAATGGCAGCCCCAGAGAGATGGTGGGGAGGGGGCGGGAGGAGGGTTGGGAGGGGGGTGGGAGGAGGCCAGGCTTCTGGAGACGGGCAGCTCTGCCCCTCAGCTGGAACCAGGGTCACAGTGCGGGCTCTGCAGGAGTCCCCAAGGCTTCTCAGACAACCTGGAGGGCACCCCAAATCGGCTGGTTGGGATCCCCAATTTGGCAGGCCTCTATCAGGACCTGGTTAAATGTGAGAAAAGAGAAACAAACGTGCTTTTCTGTACTGGAAGCGGCAGGTGGGATTCCCGCTTATCAGCTCTTCACAAGCAGGTTCCGGAAGGTGAGGGGAGAGCAGGAGACCCGGACCCTGAGGCTCAACTGCGGAACGCGAGAATCCAGAAAGAGGGAAGGAGGGCTGGCCAATGGAAGGAGAGAGAATGATGAATTCGCCGAGAAAGGTGCTGAGCGGGCGCTAAATCGCAGAGTCCGGCTCTCCAGGTGACCAGGGCCCCTGATGAGGACCTGCGCCTACGCAGTGCACCTGCGGTGCCACACAAACCCCGCCCCCGCCCCCTCCAGCCCCGCCCCACCCTCCGCCCGCAGGGCCCTGGGCCCCGAGTCAGTGCACCTGGGACCTCTAGGGTGAGCGGACTCTAGAATCTTCAGCTCCCGCACACGCCCACCTGTTGCATTTCACCCGACTCCAACTCAGTACGTGCAGCGCTGGGGAAGATGCCCAGTGTGCCCGGGACTTCCCCATTTTAGAACTGGAAGTCCTGACCTGGGCAAACCGGATGGCTGGTCACCCGCAGGGCTGGTCTCCGGGCCCACACCGCTGCTAGACGGTGGCGGCGGGGCACAGTGTGGCCCCTGGACGTTTCTACCCTGCCCCTCACTGGTTTCCACTGCCTGTAGAGAACTGAGGGATGTGGGGGCGGGGAGTGAGGGGAGGGGAGGAATGAAGCATGAGGTGTGAGCGGAGGGGAGGGGCGAGATGTGAGGGGAGTGGGAAACAGCACATCTAAGTGGCATAGCACGGCGTCCCTGTGGCAGGAACTTGACCTGGGCTCTCCCTTCACCCCCGCAAGTAGATCTGTGAGGAGGCTGGTGGCAAAGGGTGGACCCAGCCTTTCTCCTTTCTGTGTGAGAAACTGACTTGGGTTCCGTTGCGTCTGTAGCTCTACCACCGGGAAACCTCATCTGGGCAGAAGGTCAGTTGCATTACTAGGCAACAAGCACCACAGCAGCTCTGAGCTGTGTGTCTCATCTGGGCGCAGAGGGCAGAGGATGACATATGAGTACGTGAGTACGCACCTGGTGGGCCGCCAGAACTCTGAGGCCCCCTGTGGCTCTTGTGACTGGGCCTGTCCCTGGCAGGAACCTTGGAAGCGATGCCTGGGACTGTCACAAGAAATGCCGACTCGTTGTTGGCTCCCTGCACCTGCCTGTATGAGCCTCACTCGCTCGCACCTGAACTGTCTCCTGGGGGCCAAAGAGACTGGCCCCTGGTCCCCTGTGGGCCGTACGGTCTCCTTGGAGGACGACTTCCACAGGGGTGCATCAGATGCTGCCTGCTGCATCTCCTGCCAGTATCCGAGAGTCTTGGGGTCTAACTGTCTAGTTGTGCCCAAAGAAGACCTCTTGTGAGGTGCTACGTGGGAACTATCACCCCCCATTCCACAGATGAAGAAATTAAGACTCTGAGTGGCAAGTACTTTGTCAGTGTCCACTGCAGGGGAGTGGGCTGGTCTAGGAGTGGACCTGGATGGGTCTGACTTCAAAGCCACTGCCATTGGCATCCTGTTGTCCGAGTGGGAGAGCTGAGAAGACAGAAGTGTGGGGCAGTAGGGCATGAGGCCCACACTCCTGCAGCAGGGAGAGATGGACACTCTGTGCTGTGGGACTAGCTTCCCAGAGACCTTGCACACCTCCTGGACTTGTGCTGCTAAGTTAGCAAAGCAAGGCTCCTCTGTGTTTCTTTGGCCCCAGAGAAAGCAGACGTGCTTTTCATTTTCACTTGCGGCATGGTTCCACATTCCCATTGCTGCCTGGAGTTCTCAGATGCCTGCTTTTTTCAAGCAAAGGCGTCAGTTCATTTGCTTTT